TTTGTACGCGTCCCCGCGGTATTGCGTCGATTCAGTGTCTCCGCCGTCTTAGCGACCTGATGAGTTATCTGTTGAAGAACATCGCGTTTACTTGCGTATCCACCAGGCACCTGGCGCGTATTGACTGGGATGGACAGGTCGATTAGATCACGGCGTGGGAGTCTTGTTCACAGGAAGGCGAAAACTGACGATGCCTGGCTGTCCCGTCTTGTAAAAAGACGGGTTACTTCTCTCACAAGGATTTAAAGCATCCGTTCATTCATGGCTTCATTCATTTATTTTCATGTTTGTTTATGTGTTTCCTTATTTTAGGCTAAAATTCCCTATTGGGGGAATTACGCAAGGGGAAACACGTGTCAAAGGTGCGAGAAAAATAAGCCACCGTTCAATTTGACAGGATATCAAAGTAAATCAAACAGATTCATCCTTTAAATCTTGCGTTGCTCTGAGTAACATGCAACGGGTTTTCTCAGCTATATTTTCATGTTGTTTAAATTCGAGCAAGAAGTCTGAGGTTTGTCATTTTGGGATCTTTTTTTTTTTTTTTTTTTTTTTTTTTTTTGTTAAAACTATAAATTAACACGTTATATGCAAAAAAAAAAAAATTCCGGCTAAAAGGGCATGAAAACCATTCGACACTGTTCTTTTTATAAAAGAAGTCGCAAAAACTTTTTTTCTCCTCTTTTTACTATCAGTGCATGTATGAAACAAAAAAAACAAAAAAACTCATCGCCGCACTTTTCGTAAATTGCAATTCCTTTATTTTTTTTTTTTTTTTGCATTATCGCTAAAGCATGTTTCCCTTTGTCGAAAACTGCTAGCCCATGAACTATTCACAACTCGGGCGTCGAGCTGTTTTCTCTTCGTTCTTTTTCTTTCACATTTCGGCCACCAGGCCGCGCCAATTTATCACTGCACACATGGATAGACGGTAGACCCCGCGTCCCTCCTTCACGCCTTTTCCGCTGGGTGCCATCGCCGACCCTCGAGTTTCGAATAGCTAGACATCCTGGCCTTACATTATTGAAGAGGCATTTTAATGCGCCAGTACCTTTAATATTCTCAATTGCCGTGGCAAGATTTCTAGTCGAAGGAGTTATGTCGCAACACGTAGTCCTGGAAACTGAATGTTTGTTAGGAAAACAGAGTACAACAATCACCCCTTAAAGGGAAGAGGGGCGAGGGGGGCGCCATGAAAAATATGAATAATTAAAACGTAGTTAAACAACAAAATAAAGAAATATATATATTTTCAAAAACTGTTTTCGTGTCTTGTTTCTGACATAGGGTGGGGAAACTCAAACGCCATTCATCCAAATCCACAATGTGACGGCACCATGAGACGAAAGGTTAGATCTCTAAGTGAAGAAAACAAAAACAAAAAATATCGAAGTATCAAAGGGGATATTTGTTTATTATGTGTGTTGCCGGGATAACTGGACGTATACATGTCCGTCGCAAGCCTCCTAGCAACCGCTCGCCAAACACGAGTGCGGCGGGAAAGTCGATATTGCATTTAAATAAAACCACGCTTTGCTTGCGTGGGCAGCAGTAATACCAAGAATAATACGAAAAGACCGTCGGGCGGGGAAACAAGCAGGTTTACCGAAAAGACACAACGAGCAAAAACCAAGCCCAAAGACGAGATAGCAGCACAGGAGCGGCGAAAAAAAAGTTTGAATAAAAATAATAATAATAATAAAAGATTGAGTCTGCGTAGACAATCTTGATGTCTCGAACGACGGCATAAATAAAATAGACGCGACGTGTCTGTGTCTCCTGGTTGGGGATGACTTTAGAATCACTAAATCTGGTTCAGCCTGTTATTCTCATTTTGTTTTCTTATGTATTTGTTGTATTTTACCCGACCGTCCGTGCGTTTTGAGTTCTGTCGTACGTCTCGTTCCTGTGAGATACGTTTTCATCGCTAGGTTATGTTAATTTTTATCTGCTCGGTGCTGAAAAACTTTAGAACAAAGAAAGGGAAATTGGTAATCATTTTCTTCTCGTCGAGATGCTAGATCTACAGATCTACTTTGTTAGGTTTGCAACCTTATACGCCTGAGCGGCGCAGGTTAGCAACATGAAAACATGTTTATTGCGACGAGGTGTACGCGATTAAGGATGTCCGGGTGGCTCAGAGGCTGTCTTTGTGTTTTCGGTGACTATGCTCCTTATGAACTCACTATTGTAGCTACGCATAGGACCTACATACGTAGGTTCTATGCGTAGCTACGCATAAAACAAATATACGCTTTCTTTACTACACAGTGCCATTGTATACTGAATCTGTCTCTGCATAGGCACACTAATCCCCCATGGTCTCCTATTTCCTCCTATAAAAACAAAATAAACGCTTAGAGTTTCCATTGCGTGAGGTTGGTTCGCTATACTATGGTCACACTGGTTCCTAACTTCCTACTATTGACGAGGAGTTTAGCGTGTGCAATACGACTGCTAGGTCTTAACGTTCATCACTCAGCAATGACACGTGACTGCACGCCTGCACGATGCTCATCCAAATCAAAACGGCAGGGTTGATGATCCATCAGATTGCAAATTGCGTTCGCTTAGCAGAGTAGAAATTCGTACCTTACACCTAATTGGAAAAAATAATCAGTCTGAGACAAAAACTGGGTTTCCAGGATATATTTGTTTTGCAATATATTAATGATTTTACAGTCCGGGGCAGCGTCATCTGGAGGAGAAGCTCTTCCCCTTAATTCCCAAAGAAAGCCCCACCGCACTGCTGAATACAACCTCCAGATTTTTCTGGCCTCAAAACATTTGCTTCTATAACCAGATATAATTAGCTTGACAATTAACGTTACAAAGTCTGTTGTTTTGTCCGTGCCACTGCGTAATATTTAACCAGAAGAAGGCTATACTGACAAAGCAGTCCTCTTTTGTTTGGGGGAAATTTGTTTGTGGGGAGTGCTTGTCCTGCTAATGTTTTCTTTCAAAAGATTTTATCGAGCCTTATTGCCTCTTTTTTTTTTCTGGTATAATTTATTATTGACGCTAGAAACCGGAACCACCAATCGTGTATTTGCGATTCGCACCTTAAGCCGCCCTCGAACGTAAAAAAAGAGCATCATGAACAAAAATTAATTAAAACGAAACAACTGTGACCCATGGTTCTTCTGTAGCTCCAGCTAGGTTGCTATCAGAGGCTGATCGAAACACTTTCCTTATTGTGGAAACACGTTGGACGAAAACTGCATCCCTTAATTATCCTTTCGACATGAATGTATGCACGTCTTTGAGCGTTTAGTTCACTGTTGGGTTCACCATTACACCAACTAGCAGCTTTCAGGAACATTTCTTTCACAAGCATTTCTTTAACTTTTCGAAATTCATGTAGATATTTAAGGGCCTCTGTAGGAGAACATTTCGTGCAGAGGATAACTTGAAGCGTGAGATGCTAATCCCCTTTTCAACGCGCTCGCAGTGATGTACTTTTTTTTTTCTTGGCCAATCATGGCGGATGCATGACCACATGCTCGTATAGTTCACCCTTGGGTGTAGTTCGCAATGTCGCAGGGAGGATCGCAAGGTGGTCAAATTGTTCTGCGTGGCCTGGTGACTCCTATATAATTGTTAACCTTTGCAACAATTTTTTTCTGTGTGTTTGTGAAATTGTTCAACTTCGCACGGTGAGAGTTTTTGTTTATTGTTACTGTCAGCTCGTTTTCACAAGGGTTACCGTGCCTCACCTGTTCGTTTCACTTGTTTGCGACAATATTGCAACTCCTCATTCGACTAGTAAATCCGCCGTATTTTTTTTTTTCGGAATTTAGATATTTCTATTGTTGAAAAGAAAAATCTATTGTTAAAAAATAAAAAGAAACTTGGCAAAAGTAACTGTCGCTAAACATACTGACACTCGAAGAATAGATGAGGATTATTGATTCTCATCTTGTGCACTTATCGGTACCCATAAAAATCGACGGGAATGATTTCTAGAAAAAAGAACAATAATAATGACGTCGAAACGTGAACATTCGTTCCAATAAAAACAAAACTAGGTTTCATAAAAAAAAATTGATTAGGTTTAGTGACAATTTAAGAAACGAAGGGTATATCGCGCCTTGAGTTCACGCTTTTTTGCTTCGGGACATTTCAAGCTTCACCTCACCCCCTTATAAAGGCTACAGCCATATTAGCCTCCATCCATCCAAGAGCAAAACACCAACAGCCAAGGACCTCACCCCGACAGATGTGTTGTCCCTCCTTGTACGTTTCGTTGTTTTCTTACTCAGTTTTTTTACACCAGACGGACGCACTCACCTCAAAACGCATAATTGGCTGTGGAACAGTAATTAGATGCCTGGGAGCTTCCATGCCCTGAATTTCTTAATCTGTCGGGTGGCAATATAAGAGATGGAAGCACACCTCGCTCTCATCATTTGCCATCCGCAATAGCAAATCGAAAAACTTAAGCTGCGTTCGGTTGTCGCATCGAGATATGGGCCTTCCCCACCCACGTTAAAAAATAAATTATACGAAAAAAAAAATCTACTTACGACTTGAAGTACGCAGAAAGTTTAGGAGGACCGCGTTTTAAAAACGGGCGGCCGACAACAAAAACAAATATGAGATGCCATATAAGGAGGAGGAGGAGGGCAAACGGAGATTTATATCAATGTGCAGGGGGAAAAAAAAAAGCCCGCTCGGAGTCAAAAAATGAAAATCTCCCGAAAGAGAGGGGAAAAAATTGAAAGATGGAAGGAGAGATGATAAATAGAGAGAAACAGCGTTAGGAGAAGGAGAAAGAGAGAGAGAGGGACGAAAAAAAAATGTAGTCTCCGGTTTCAATTCAGTACTCTTTCTCTCCTCTCGATGTATCCTTTCTCTCCTCCTTTTTTATAGGCGTCCTCCTCCGCTTCCTCAAACGCGGCCCTTTCCTTCGCCCCTTTAAAAAAAAGAAAGATGGGCGATGGTGGCGGCGCGTCGCGGTGGCGGAGGCAACTAAACGGCCGGGGACGATCCGTCTTGCGATTCGAGCGCAAAGTGGGCCCGCTCTCGCGCAACGCAAGAGCTCGGCCGCGTGCGCTCGCTCGCCCGCTCAACGCGCGCGTTCGGCGAAGACGCTCGTCGTCGGTGAAGAGGACCGACCGCTTCTTCACGCGGCAGGATGGGACTCTCGAGCACGGGAGGATCATCATCACGCCGCCGTCGCCGTCACCGCTGCCCGTGCTCGTTGCCGCCGAGGTGCTCGTCTTCGCCCACCTGTTCTCTACCGCCGATAGTAGCTGTGGTTCGGTCAACGTCGTCGTCGTCGTCGTCATCGTGTTGGTTGTCGCCATCGACTGTGTCGCTGCCGTGCTCGTGCCTGTGCTTTGCGCTGCTACCGTCGGCGTACGCTAGAGGATCGTCGACCGCATCGAGATCGGTGTTTGTCGCGGACACGGCGAGTTGTTCTTCGCGGGATTACGGCCGCGCCGACCTTCTCCACTGCGACCGAGGTGAGCAAAGGGGGCGCGGGAGGACGCGCGGTGCTCTCCTCTGTACGAGCTTCTCGAGCTCCCCAATCGGATATTTCGTACCCCAACACCACTCTACACAACGATCTTGTCGAATCCCCCGAGGGAACTTGCAATTTGGTGTACCCTAAGAATCAGGGCCTTCACCGCGACACTAATTCGGACGGCTATCCAACTTTATCTGGTGCCTTCCCTAAGGTCGGATGGGTGATACACGGTATTTGTTCATTTCCTCGAGAGAACTTGCATTTTGTTTCCCCAAGAGAACTCGGAATTTTGTACTATGGTGCTTCACTGCAACGCTTTTGGGTCGCGATCCACGTTCATCCGCCGCCTTCCCTTTTGAAGAACTGTTCGTGACGTCACTCGCGTCATACACGCTATTTGAGTTAAAAGCGACTTTAGAAAACCGTTACTGTGTTCCGCGTACCGTACTAGAGGAGCCTTTGAAGCGTGCTTTTAAGCGCGCGCCCGGGGTGATACTGTGACCGCCTGCGTGCGCTTAAAAGCAATGCTTCAAAGGCTCCAGTAGTGTGGTGCGCGGAACACGTTAACGGTTTGCTAAAATTCCGCAATGGGGCACCTTCTCAAGTCATATGTGTGTTTCGTTTTATACAGTCATGTCTCGTTTTCCGGTCGAGGTGCACGACGTCCTGCGTATCAGTCATAAATATTGTATGCTTTTGAAGCAAGAAGTCGTAGGTATAGTGGTAATAACATATTGGTTCAGTTCGTATGCCGTTTCATTTTTAATTGCGCATTTGGATCTGATAAGTTGATATTGCTTTCAATGAATGAAGCCTGTTGCGTTGACGCGTGACAAGTCGATTTGAGTCGCGTTGCAGGTCGGATTATGAATTCGCTTTCGAGTTTCTTGAGATTATGTTGACCCCTTTGCTCAAAACCACCTCGCATGAAAGGCCGATGCCATCACCGCGGTTATCACGTCGCTTTGCTGTCGCGAATAATTAAGAATCTTCGATTGTGGTAGATAGCAAGACAATCACTTTAATACGTTCTACGCGAGAAATGTACTGCTTCATTAAGAATTTCATATCTCATTTTCTTTTAAGCTAATAATGGAAATTCCAGGAATCAGCTACAAATACTTTAGGTCCTCTGCCCTCAGATGTAATATGCAAATATCTAGACCCCCGTTCATCCATTAAACAGATGTCACAGAAAAAAGAAAAAAAAAAACATCAGCGGGGTTATGTTGTGTAAGTTCAATAGATCTTCCGACCAAGATATCAAATGCCACTGCCGCCTAAAGAAATGGTATGCCGTTTCTTTTCTTGGCAGAGTAGAATAAGGCAGGTTTGTTTTTCTTTTATGACAGAACGATTTATTATGTTTTTTTCGAATCCGTTTTCGCCTTTCATATTGACAAATAAAAGCAGAAAAGCCAAGAGAAGTTATATGGATTTTCGCCATCTTTTTTTGACGCTCTTTTTTGTGTGTGTACGACACGCATCTCTATGTTTTCTTTGTTCTTCCTTAAAACAACACAGCGAAGGCTTCATCGATCATCAGACGGTTGGTTTTTCTAGACCTCCATGTTCGCTCTCTGCCCCGTGGGGCTCGCATCGCGATATAGATGTTTTTCTTCTTTTTTGTGTGTATTTTCCGGGAGGGGCCACTTCAAACATGGGTCCAGCGTCGAGCCGACCTGCCCTCCAATCTTCGGCCGGCGCGGGTCACACAGCCCTCTCGCCCCTTTTCAATCTCTGGACCACGTAAATTTTATTTCTTGTTCTCTCTCTCTCTCTCTCTCTCTCGTTAGCTTTAATGCAGTTTCTTTCAAAACTCGCGATTTGGGTGATTCATATACTGCGTTGTGAAAGGCCTCCTTTAATGGCGTTTTAAGTTTTATTAATATTTTGCAATCTCGTTTTGTTGTTCTTGCTTTTTGCGTGTTTTTGCAGCCCGGTAATCGAAATTGGCCTGTCGCGAACGAAGGTCGTGTATATTTGCTTGCAATATGCAGTTTTATTTTTTATTCTTGAAGGCATATACATAGGCATGAGATGATGTAGGAATGTTCGATTATTACCTACGAACTAAGATATGATCGCGTCGTTTGCAAGTATTCGATTTTCCTCCTCTGACCGCTTTCTGATACGATTTGGCATCTTCCTCCTTTTGGTGTTTTTTTTTTCTTTTTTTTTCGACATAACCTAAATTTATTTTCAACATCAGAGAGAAATATTAAGGCGCGATATCCCTGCGTTGTGCGATACAACAACGTGACGAATACAAAACACACGTTAATGTCTAAAAACAAAACGTTTTCAGTATTTAGCAGTGAGGGTGCAAAACCTCTAGGCGTTCTTGCACTTCAGTCACGAGCACTATCGTCCTCGTTGTAGGTGGACGTATCGCCCAACTTAACGAAGTTCAAGAAGGTTAAGCATCCTTCCTTCTTAATAAGCATGTTGCCGTGGTGACGACGCCTCGCAGAAGTGCCTCCGGGATCACAGCTTCCTACAGTCATTGCTAAGGCGCAATGTCTGTGTACGGATTGCCACGTAGCACTCACTCCCTAAAGGTATGAGTGTTATGCAATGCTCCGTTTCTTCGCCTTCCACATTTTGACAGAGCTGTCGCACTAAACCGTCCACTTGTGGACGACAAAGAGAAGGACACTTCGGGAATCCTTATTACTGGCGCAGAGACGCGATCTGGCAACGTTAAGAGGCCCTTTGATGTAGACAATAAGACACAGCACAAACACAACTTCATCGGCGTACTTTAACATTTTTGCACAAGGGGTCTATAAACAAACACCCAATTCGACAGCCCATATACTGTAGTTGCTGCCGAGGCTTAGCACATTCAACCGTGCTTCGAGTTGTTTGTTCGGGCTATACTCACTGACAGTTTAAGAAACGGAAAAGAGTGGCGCGTTCCGACTGATTGTCTCTGAAAGCGGTATTTTGTGACATGTAATTTTTTTTTCCCCAAAATAATAAACTTTCTGGCACAAAAAGCATAGCCTCACTTCACCGGTACTTTTCTTTTTATTTTATTTTGTTAACACGAAATACGGCTGTACAATCAACCAATGCATGTGGCTATAAGAGGCGCGTGTGGCAGCCAGTCGGACACCTCGCCGACGGTGCAAAGGGACAACGGCCGGCGTCTGGGCCACGCTCCGCCATCGATGTTATTCAAATCGCGTCACCGTTCCAACACGCCGATAAGGGTGCGACAGTGCTGCCGGATATTTTTATTCCGGAGTCCGACCTGTCTGTCACGTACAACTCTCACTGCATACGACGGGCTGCAGTCCCAGACTGCGTGGAAAAATCTGTTTGCCCTTGCATCGCGTCTGTACACTTGTCGGCTCTCCCTTTAGTCTTTTTTTCTTCTTCTAACAGACAGATATTATTGATTCTTCCATGCTTCGACAACACTGTGTTTGGGTGCGTAGCGGAGGGCTGCTCTTGTGTCGTCCCTGTGTCGGAAGTTCCTTTTGAGCGATTTGTGCTGGTGAGATTTATTGATTCTACGTAGTGATGAAAGTGGATTGATTCGGTATATGATTTTGCTTCGTTCGAATTTACTGGCATTCTTCATTGATTATAGGCGGCGCTGTCGTTGAGCCAGGTTTAGGAATAATGCTGTTACAAGGCTTAAGCGTAATGTTCTCTGTATTAGACAGTGGTTGACCGTTGAAATCAAGAACACAGTATTTCACTTCTAATCCGCGATGTGCCAAACTCTGGCTAAATGGTGCGAGTCATCACCAAATTAAAAGGTTTCGGTTGTGTGCTTTCATCTACCCAAACTGTGAAAATATGTCGCGCGAAGATATCAGCCTCTGCGCCGCAAAGAAACGCTTGCAGATCTCCTGGGTCGAAGACCTAAATCTTGAATTTTTCGTCAGGCTCCCGGTTGCACTTGAAGACGTTTACAAATCTCTCGATTTTGTTTTCCTATTTAATATCGGCGGCCCTTGCAACCCTCCAAGAAACAATACGAAAAAAATATAATGTTAGACCGTACTAAGGCGATAGGACTAAATAAACCCTTACCGTAGTTTTTCAATCGAAATCTGAACTCCTGTGAGTGGTAATTTTTCTAAGAGTTTAAAAGAGTTTTCGGGCTGCGATTGGCAACAAGCCGTAATATTGTTATTAGTGGCACTCCCAGTAGTAAACATAATAGTTGAAGTATTCCAAAGAAATACGTCCAGGCTGTAGCATGGAATGAATAATCGCGGTATGACCTGTTGTAGCTGCCCTAAAGCAGGAGGCTCAATTCTTGAAATTCTACGTCTTCCTGCCCAAAGCGGTCATTTGTTGGCGCAGAGGAGTAAGGAAGGAGCTTGGGAAAACTTCTCATACCGTTACACCGTTTGGTGTAAAAAACGTATGTCTCAGTTTTTCAAAATGGATCATCCCAGCGGACGGTTTGTCACGCTCGTGCCCCTTCCAAGAAGCGACAAGGACGTTAGGCGCGCGCAGACGCGCTTTGCTTGTGATGGCTTGCGGGGCGCGGCCGATTTTCGCAACGAAAGCCCGACTAATTAGTTCGGAGCATATTCCCACATGCCGGGAAAAGCGCCGTCGTGCCCATGACGTTGGTGGGTGTCGGATCGCGAGGTCCCAAGGCCGCCATATTTCTTTATTCCGTGTTTATAAGAAAACACGTGATTTTTTTGTTTCTTTCTAGGCTTCAACTGCGATACCTCTTCGCAAAGGGGGCGTGCCAATTGTAATCGCTTCAAAGCGGGACATATCATTTTCGAGATTACTATCAATTGAGAGCCGAGCAGTCCGGCATTTTAACAAGCAGCGACAATGAAAGCTCTCGTTGACCACTATCATCATCATCATCTCTACAACGTGCATTTGCGGAACTCGTTAAAAGGCTGAGCTGCGCTGCGAAATCCATTCATTTTCAACACAAAGATGAAGGAAAATTATCCCGCTGAGTGTCTTTAATATAAACATAGAACAAGTTAATGTGAATTATAT